AGAGATATTGCTTAGGACTTAAAAGTTGTAAGATGATGTCATGGGGTAGGACTAGATAAGTCTAACTTCTTCCTACTCCATTCAAGCATGTACTAGGTATAAGTAAATTGATATTGGATTATTATTGTTGGATATGTGTGAAATTACATGTGTTGACATATCAACTGTTTTACATGCTTGAATGAATAAATCAAATCAAATCAAATGTTTATAAAGCTGCTGCCCAAGGGAATTCCTCAGATATTTACATACAAGCACCCTAATCACTGTAAGTGTGTTTGTGTATGAGAGACAGAGACAAAGAGAGAGTTTCTATAGCTTCTATCATCCATCACGAAACCAGACTAACTGTCATTGTGATGGTGGCCAGCTGGCGCTCACCACTCTCTGGCACACACACACACACACACACACACACACATGCACAACATACACACTCTGTCTGACAAGACAAATCACCAGCAGCTCTGGACATACATGGGCATAAACCACTGGGAGCTGGGAACATTCAGTGTTAACCTTAAATCAGCCCCAGGAAGTCTATGTGTAGCAGAATATACAGTACAGCATGTAAACACATCCATGTTGTAGTATTTGTAAGCGTGTGTACCATGGGAGGATGGAAGAAATCAAAATAAATGCTGATTTGACATGCTGAGAAGTTAGTTAGATGTGGGTGCATTTGTAAATGAATACATTTTTGAGCATGTGTGTGGATGCCAGTGTGGTTTGCAGACATAGTGTAGCTCAGGAGCTCAAAATTTCACCTCTCGCCTATTGTCCAGAGGAGCAGCGGTAGTTAACTAACAGGCTACAGCACAACAGACAAAGGAAGAAAGAGATAAGACAACAAAGAAATAAGGAAAGGGGAAGAGATAAACAGAAGGAAAGCACAAAGAAGGCAGAATATTTTAAAGGATCATTCTGGTTTATTACAGCATAGTTTTGTCATCCACCAACTATGATAAATCCACCACAAAAACAAAGAAGCAGTGAGACAATCACATAGTTTGTAAACATGTCATCAGCCAGATTATCCTAATAACTTTGTTTGAAGGTAAAACTAAATGTGAGCATACCTGAAATGTTAATAACAATATCTCACTGCACACGAGTGCACACAACTATGGCAAGCACAGTAAGTCAAATTTGAACCTGGAAGTTTTGGAAAAAATGGAGGTTTATTCTAAGTCTATACCGTAAAATAATCTAAGTGCTCATGTGACTTGTGCTGTATGAAGTTTTAGTGATGTTACCATGGAAATATTTGAAACCGACTTGGTGAATATTACTATATCACTGATTGAAAGGATGGCTAAAATTGCCACAAGGCTCCAAAGCGACTGCACCGTACGTTAGCAGCCATACAAAGTAGCACATTGTCACATTTTGCTAACATCAACACTATGACAAATACTTAAATATATAGTATATAGTTATCTTCTTCTCCTCTTCCCTCTCCTCCTTCACATCTCTGTCTTTCTCCCTCTTTCCTATCTTCAGTATATATCATCTTTTCTTCTTTCCACCACACATGGTTTCATTTATGTGCTGCTGAGTTTCTTTTTTTAATATTCTCAATCTCACTGTCTCTTCACTATCCTTCTTCCTCACACTTCATGCCTCCCGGTCCTTTCACTATTTTTTAAGAGTCAATCTCCCATCTACTCTCTGTCACTATATCTGTTTCATCTATTACTCCCTTCTGCTCTTCCCGCTCCAACTCCCATTTTCATTCTTCTCTTCTCCCTTCACTCCTACACGGTTATCATGCTCTCTCAGATTTCTTCCTTTGGTCTGTCGCTCTCACTAAAGCAGCACTGAACTGGCAGCTTAGCAGATGATAAGTGTGTAGCTAGGTCTCCCTTTTTCTTTGTTCTCCATTATCTTTTTGTTCTACTTTCTCAAGCCAGCTATGTTAACTCACCTCCAGTTCATATGGGGATAAAATGGATTATTAAGATGTTGATAACTCAAGCCATGCGAGAATGGGAGAGAACACCTATTGTGACATTAGAATGATAATGTTTTATTGTAATGTTTTTGTTTTCTACTTCTGTGTTGCACTTTGAATTCTGTTTTTCTCTGTTCCACTGAATTAGGAATGAGCCTAAATGCATGCAAATGTTGGCCAACTAGGATGGAGAGGTGTGAGACCACACACACACACACACACACACACACACACACACACACACACACACACACACACACACACCATCACTACCTC